CAACCCAACCGGACCCCGGCCCCGCTACGGGTCCCCGCCGCGCTCACCGCCACGAAGCCGGAGGAGGAGGCGATGAATACACGGATGACCATCCTCTCGCCGCGCCGGGACGCACCGTCTGACCCCTCGGACTCTGGACTGGTGCGGACGCGGACGCAAAACTCTGCAGCGGAGAACCGCGGCTGCCACCGGGCAGAACGCTTCCTTTGGGTAAGATCGCAGGGATCTAGGTCCCTCCCTCCTGGTCTGCAGATAAAAAGCTCCGCGCCTCCCCGCCTCCTGCCCTGGCAGTGGAGGGGGAGGAGGAAAGGGGGGGAGGCCGGTGCGGGGCATGATGGGAGTTGTAGTTTCGGTCTTTCCCTGGGTTTCTGGTGGACGGAGGTCCTTCAGGTTGCCTCCTTGTTGCGCGTCAATCCCTGAGGCATGCCGCTGGCTGGAAGAGAGCCCATGGCCGGGAAAAGACTATGGCAAGGGCTAGCGAGGATGCCAGGGAGACGAGGAAAAATAAAACTAGGCAAAAGGGATTGGTTCAAAGTCCACGCTTAGGTTCTGTGTTGTGGTTTACTGGTTTGGAGCAAACCCAGCAGCGGCGATGGAGGGCGGTTGCGGGAGGGGGGTGCGGTGAGAGGGGCGCGGGGCTGGGCGCGCCTCTGTTTTCCCTGTGACTCTGGAGATTGCAGTAAGATGATTCCTTTAGATCAATGGGAGGTTTTCTTTTTATGCAGACACGGAAAATTAGAAACCCAGATGAGAGCACAACCGATATTTTATTTTTCTTTGCAAAACTGTAATTGTAGTAGAAAAAAAATAAATACCAAGCGAAATTAGAATCCTTCTATCAACATTGGGAATCTGAGCCCCACCCGCCCCACCCCCTACCCTACACAATGGCTTTGCCTCTGTTCACCTAATATTTACAGTTGAGCCAAATCTGTGCCTTTTTCGGACCTGCAAATTCCAGCGCAGCCTCCCTGGAGGATGCCCTTAAATAAAAAGCCTTTATGTAGTTGCTAATAGTTTAGGAATAGTAGTTCGTTAGCAAGTGCTTCTGGTTAACAAAAGCGCAAGCCTCTCTCAGTTTAGTGGAAATGGACCAGTTTTCCCTGCAGTACTGTATTTACTTTCTTCCTTTCAGCAGGGGAGCCTAGCAGAGTTCTGGGAACGATGTTAATTAATAATTCTAGAAACAAAGAAAATGAGGTCTCTTGGAACATTTCTTACACAAATACTAATCGGTTTGGGCCATTTGTTTTTTTTAGAGCGACTTTGAATATTTTAAGTTTATAACCTTCCCTATTACTTACCTTATATAATTTCTGTACGATTCCTTTTTAATTTAGTATAATAAGAAGATACGATCTTAATGGGACTTTATTTCTTCTTAGTATTCAACAATTTTAAATATAAGTTTTGCTGTAATTACTAGCTCTGTTCAACTATACTTTAATTTGGCTACCATAAATGTGGAAATAAATGTTTATAAAAATTTAAAACATTCAACATTGGGAATGTATCTTAAAGGTAGATAGTAATTTCCTGTATAAATGCAACTTTATAATAGTCTGCATTTTCTTCAGTTTGAAATTATATAGCTTTGAAGATATGGTTAAACTCAACAATAGGAACTCAGAGTCTCTTTGAAAGGTACAAGAATGGATGAAAAGATGAAAAAGTCATTTTCTCAGTCAGCAGAGCACCTATTGTCTGCAAAAGAAAAAGGTACAGAAATAGCAACAGAACAAGAAATGCCATACCAATGGAGTGTTGTATAGATATAAAAGAAAGAGAGGGAAACTTTAGAAGAGACTTTAAAGGTGAGTAGAATTGTCTGGCTGGTGTGGCTCAGTGGTTGAGCATCAACCTATGAACCAGGAGGTTCATGGTTTGACTCCTGGTCAGGGCACATGCCCAAGTTGTGGGCTCCATCCCCAGTGGGGAGTTTGCAGCAGGCAGCCAATCAGTGATTCTCTCATCATTGATGTTTCTCTTTCTCCCTCTTCCATCGTCTCTGAAATCAATACTATATATATAGAAAATATTTTACATATTTTATATATAGGTTAAAGATGAGTAGAATTTCTGCTGGCAGATAGGGGAGAATGCAGGGTGAGAATTTGCAGAGTATGTGAGAATTGCAAAGAGTCCATTTTGCTTCAGAAAGGGAAATGAAGGGACTTAGAACAGGGATGAAAAAAAGGTTTGAATGAATACAGCAGCGGACTCTCCTGAGTTGTCTGCCTAGTTCCTTGCCCTTTTCTGGAATCTGTTTCTCCATTCTGATCCAAGAGGTTATAATGATGATGGTGCCCCCAAACCCTGTTCATACAGCAAGACCCAGACCCTTAGCCACAATAGATTGGTCTAGGAGTGAGCACCTGACCCAAGCAAGGCCAGGCAACATTCCTACCCTAAGGATTTGGAATTAAGACAGACACACAGAGAGAGAATTTGAACTTGAATGTGTGGCATGGAAGATCAGAGCTTTCAGAAGCCATGGAACCAGGAAAGCTACAGAAGATAGTCAGTAGGAAGAGAGCAGCAAAGCAGACATGTGGTGCATGGCAGAGATGAGTTTCAGAGTGTCTTAACAATGCTTTAGTCCAGGGGTCCTAAAACCTGTGTTTCAGATCCAGCTGGTTGTCTGTTTTGTAAATAAAGTTTTATTGGAACACATTCCTTTTCATATTGTCTATCACAGAATGATAGAAACCATATGGCCTGAAAAGCCTAAAACATTTACTATCTAGCCCTTTACCAAAAAAGTTTGCCACTCTCTGTCTGTTCAACCTATTTCTTTATCCCTGCTATTGAGGCCTGTGTAATATCCCTGTATCTATAGCATGAATTCCTCATCTTACTGGTACTTAAGCCACTTCAACTTTTGGTTTCTGTAACCAAAATTGCCCTAACTGAGAAGTCTGTACTTAATTTGTAAGCATTCTGACAAAGAGGAGAATATGATCAGAGTTGTCCTTTAGAATTGCTCTGGTAATAATTAGCTATGTTTTTTCTACCCTGGGTTGACTAGAATTTGTGTGCAGGACAGAGTGTTAGCAGTCCAGGAGACCTCAAAGGCCAGTGTGGAGTTGAGACTCAGAGTTAGTAAAGTGGAAGAGTGACCAAGATAGAAAGCAATCTGGAATACAAGCTAGAGGTCCAAGATTAACACCAGGGTATCACAGTACAGAGAGGATTAGATGCCCATCTGACAAGTAAAGGCTGCAGATAAAGCAGGCAGCTGAAACTTAAAGACAGAATGCAGAAAATTGAGTAGGTCATTAGGTGTTAGGGAAGTTGCTCTTGCATTGGCTAAGACTTGATCTCCTTTATAAGTCATGATAGACCATCCAGCTAGAGTGGCTTTTCCCCTTAGCTTTATTGAGATATAATGGATATACAACATTATATAAATTTGAGGTGTGCAGCATGATGATTTGATATACATATATAGTGAAACTAGAGGCCCAGTGCACGAAAATTTGTGCACTGGGAGGGGGGGAAGTCCCTCAGCCCAGCCTGTGCCCTCTCGCAGTCTAGGACCCCCCGGGGAATGTCCACCTGCCGACTTAGGCCCGCTCCCCAGGGGAACGGGCCTAAGCTGGCAGTCATCCAGCCCTCTGGCAGCCCGAGAGCCCTCGAGGGATCTCTGACTAATGGCTTAGGCCCTCTCAGACATTCTTAGCACTGCTGTGGATGTGGGAGAGGCTCCTGCCACCTGCCATGAGCTTGCTTCTGGCTGAGTGGTGCTCCCCCTGTGGAAGCGCACTGACCACCAGGGGGCAGCTCCTGCATTGAGCGTCTGCCTCCTGGTGATCAGTGCACATCATAGTGACCAGTTGTTCCACTGTTAGGGTCAATTGCATATTACCCTTTTATTATATAGGATAATCACCATAATGAGGTTAGCTAACGAGCAAAGTCTTTTAAAGCAGGGGTTCTCAACCTTTAGCAGTCTGGTGAAGTCTGTGGTGCCTTTCTCAAAAAAAAAAAAAAATAGTTTCTAAATATGGACAATAGCTCTGGCAGGGTAAGTCAGTTTGATAGAGCATCATCTGGATATGCCAAGGTTGTGGGTTCCATCCCTGGTCAGGGCACATACAAGAGGCAACCAATGAAAGCATAAATAAGTGGAACAACAAATCGATATTTCTCTGCCCCCCACCCCCCCAAAAATCAACCAATCAATCAAAATAAATACAGAAAATAAAAGAGACAAGATTACAAAGGAAACCACTTGTATTGCAAAATAGTTATCGAACTATTAAACAATTTTTATATGGTAATATACATATTTATTTATTAAGTATCATGATTTAGTAGTAGATTAAATAACCACCATGAAAATCTTAAAATACTGTGATTTTTATTGGTAACCAAGTCACAGGTATTTGCTGATATTATAGTGGTTTGTTGCCTACATTCATAATTGAAGGATTGGTAAATTTCAGTTAGAGTTTAGTGAAAATATAAAGATGTTATTTTTGTCTTATTTAAGTCCATGAACTCCCTAAATTCTGTCCACAAGTCCCCTTGTGGGATGGGGACTTTGTGTGTGTTAAAGAACCCCAGGTTAAGACAGGGTGGTGTCTGACTATATCCAAACCTGTAACAGCCAATGAATTTGCCTAACAAGAAAGTACGGAGAGAGACAAGAAGGAGCCATGAAGACTTGTTCCTGTTATTTATGCATTCCCTTGGGAGAACAAGGAATTTAAAAGAGTTGGGGAACAATGGGAAAAGTACAAAATCAAGACTCAGGAAGTAGAGAATAGTAAGAATGTTACTCAGCCTGGAAGTTAAGAAAGATGATAATGAAAATGGTGGCTTTGAGCTTGTTACTTGGACAGCTGAGTTCACATTCCCGCTTTTCCACTTAATACCTTGGGCAAATTTTGTCACCTATCTAAGCCTCAGTTTTCATTCTATAAAATGAATAAAAATAATGACTATTGATCAAGATTGTTAGGAGGATTAAGTATGCTTAGGATATTCTCTAAGTTAGGCCTTCTATTATCTGTCAACCCACAGCCCTTGTGCAGAAGACTCCCAGATCACCTGGTTGCAGATGTTTGCATGCATCTGTGTACATCCCCCAGTGTGACCTATTACAGCGTCAAAGTAGTTTATGACATAGATGACCAAGCTTGAAAATACATATTAACCCTTTCAGGAATTTACAGTTGGAAAATTGAAAGACGGAGGCAGTTTTGCCGTGGGAATATAAAGAGAGATATTGTGAGGGGCCTGTGGGT